CATCTGCAAACTTGCTGATGGTGGACTTGATCCCCTCATCTAAATCACCAAAAAATATTAAAGAGAACTGGGCCCAGCACTGACCCCTGGGGAACACCACTAGTGACCGGCACCAACTGGACATGGCACTGTTCACCACCACTCTCTGTGTCATCCAGCCAGGTCTTAACCTAGCAGAGAGTGCCCCTGTCCAAGCCATGGGCTGCAGCTTTTCCAGGAGTGTGCTATGGGAGACAGTGTCAAAGGCTTTGCTGAAGTCCCGGTAGACTAACATCCACAGCCTTCCCCTCATCCACCAGGCAGGTCACCTCATCATAAAAGGGGATCAGGTTGTTCAGACAGGACCTGCCCTTCCTAAACCCATGCTGGCTGGGTCTGATGTCTGATTCTGTAGCTGCAAGGTGTTCTTTTCTAAATATGTATTCAATCTCCTCTTTTAAAAAGTATTTCACTTTGAAATGCGTATTTCTCATTAGTCTATTTTTTGGCAACAGTTTCTCAGAAGAGAAAAGTGTTTGTTGTTTTACCTTTCACAAATCATAATATATAATAATACATGAACCCTGCAGATGTATTTAATTTTTAAACAAATTTAATCTCTAGAAAAACATCTTGCTGGTATATTCTTAGAACACAGTTTACCCTATCCCAGCAAAATCGTCACTTTGAAATATTATCAACAACTTACTTTATGTTCAGTCCCTCTTGCCTGCTCTCGTAAGACAATCGAGAACAATTTACATAATTGCAAAGTTCACTTTAGATCTTTCAGAGGGATTTAACTACAGTACTTAAGTTATTAGGGTTAGGTTACCATATGTGTAACATCTAAGATGCTTTCATGCTTCTTCTGTTGGAAGTTCAAGCAAGGGTAAACTTCAAAAAACTCTACGAAAAGTTAGACCTTGAAGAAGGCATGAAGAAGGTACTCTTAGTTGTGAAAACTGTGTTCTGTCATCCTTTTCATGTAGGGAAGAAGTGAAAGAGCAACTAGAAAAGAAAAAGAAAGGGTCCAGGGCTTTGGCTGAGTTTGAAGAAAAGATGAATGAGGTGGGTAAGATTACTAGCTGTTAATACATGGCTCCTCTTATCTAACATGCTGCTTTTCTTGTGTTGTCATTAACAGTACCAAGTACCCATAATATTTCCTTTCACTCAAGCTTTTGATGAATGAATGTTTTGTTTAATTTGTATCAGAAGTTCAGGTTACCACTTAACCAGTGAAGAGCTACTCTCAGTTCAGAGAAATGCTGTACAAAAAGTTTTTTTAATTGCTGGTGAATAAAACTTGACCTTGCATAAATGAAAATACAGTTATACAAAGGCATGTGCTTATGTTAATAAATTCATGCATATTCTAGTGTGATAAAGCATAGTCTGTTGTGCTAATCTTCACTTGTTTAAGGTCACACAATTCAAGTATATGGGGAAAAAAGTGTATTACTGTAAACAGACATCTTTAGCAAGGAATGTACATGCAATACTGACACGGGAGGAGGCACAAAGAATGGCCTTCAGTGTACAGATAGGACTGTAAAGCATTTCTTTTTATCTCATACTAAGCTGATTACAAGGCCTGCTGGTTCCCTACTATAGATGCAGCTGGTCTGATGCTTTCTGTTCTGTACCTACTGGAGATCAGCATAGTGTAAGAAAGTTTCACATGTAACTCCTGTTGTATACAAGGAAGAAATAAGTATACAGTGAATTTAACTGTTCTTATTCCTTCTTGGGTCCTGATATCTTGAGATCAGATTCAGGCAGTAATCTTCATCATTGTGTGTGCTGGCTGAAGAAGATTATGCTCCTCCTCTGTTACTGGAAGGGCGTAGTACCCGTAGTAGTCTTGCTGTACCTTTTTGCCTAAGAAGCTATACCAGTATTTGAAGGGTCATGGGGTTCTGTTTTGAGAGGATCAGTGGTTCTGCACTCTGTGAGTTTTAGCTTGGTGAGTTTGTTTTATTTATTATTTAGTATTTTATTATTTTTTTAGTATAGTATATCAAACTGCACAACCCACTGCAATATTCCATAGGTGCTGGACCATGTGAACCATGGCAGTACATTGCAGGCAGCACTGTGTCCTGGCTAATCTGCCACGTGTCTCAGCAGCACTGTTCAGCTAATTCACAGTATGCTGATGTGGGGATCTATGTATCATACTGCATTGCACAGGTTTCTTAATGCTGATATTTCTTCCCTTCAGCACAGTATGGGCCTTGTCCTTTTTTTGCCAATACAGTACCTATACAAGCTTCATTGCAAGGAAATGGAAGATCAGAGTAATTATAATTGTAAAGAAGGGAGCACATGATGTGTCTGACAGCACAGACTGGACCTAGCAGCCTTTCAGTTTGATGGGAGCAGTTTGGATGTTTCAGACCTCTTGAAGGGGGGAATTTTATGTAGACCGAGAGACCAAGTGTGGATTGAAAAGGAGGAATGAGAGGAGATGTGTACAGTATTTTGATCTAATTATTGCTGACGCCAATGAGGGCCAGAACAGACACTGGAGATGCCCATACATTGAGGAAGGGCCAGGAGAATTTGTCTTGAAGTTTTGGTTTGGGTGATTTTTAGAACTAAGACAAAAATCAGTTTTTCTGGTAGGGTGCCCTGATTTTCTAAAGTGCTCTAGCAAGAATACAGTGATACAAAAGGAAAAATAACGTTATTCATGACCTTCAGGATAAATTGCAATCTCTTAAAGCCAAATAATTTTAATATTAAGGTGTAAACTAACATGGTATTTCGATGAATATTCCTCTGTAAAATCAAGTGTATTTACAGACTTGGTTAACATTGTATGGTTTTTATTTTCTGTGTTTTTTTTTAAAACTGAAATGTCAGGTAGAGGAGAAGATTTTGAAAGAGTTCTCTTGCAAAAAGCTGTTCAGAAATGACACTTCTGTCACTGTTTCTGTTTGGTCTTGATTTCAGAATTGGAGGAAAGAACTGGAAAAACACAGGGAGAAATTACTGGGGGGAAATGAGAGTTCCTCCAAAAAGAAAGAGGTAAGTTATTTTCAGTTTTATACAGTCTGTGTTTGGAACTGGATCCATCATCGATGCTGCCAACACAGAATTTCATAAACACATTTTAAAAGGCAGCACTGAAGTTCATAAACCTAAATGCATGGCAAAAGAACATGATGCCAAAGTAACATGTGTTTTGTTTTATTTTCTTTTTAAGAAAAAGAAAAAGGAAAAGAAGAAATCTAATAGGGTGAGCAAAATTTTCAGTTTTCTGAGCCTTTTTATTTTGGAGTTTTTCCTATTTGTCATTTAAGTTCTCTTGGAAAGAGAAAATATAGCTGTAATTTTGAATTTAGATGTTAAATTAACTGATTTTTTGTTAGAGAGGGTTGGCACACATTCTGTACAGGGAGAATTTTACTTCTGTTAAAGGGAGGAAAAGAACATTAGATAGATACCATTAAATGAAAAACGTTAGAAGTGACTTTTTTGCAGTTTTATTTAAGAAAATCTATGTAAGACTAGCTTCCTGGAAATAAAATTTTATTGATGATACTTTGAAAATGAACAAATTTTAAAGGGAGTGTTTGGATGGACTTATGACTATTTGCCAGACAAAATGCTGCATCTCACAAGCTTCACTTTTTGTTGTGTTTGGTCAAGTTGTCTTCATCTTCCTCTTCTTCATCAAGCTCTGATTCTTCCAGCAGTTCATCTGATTCAGAAGATGAGGTAAGAGCTAACTTACTGGAATCTGTCGTGTTTTGTCCATGAAACTTATTTAACATAAATTTTTGTAGTATATTTTTATAATATTGCTTGAGGTCTTGGTTTGCATGAAGCTATTTATCTTTTATGTGTTTGGTATATATAATAGTTGTGAATTTTAGACATATATATATTCAATAATTTCTGTATGAACACTGTAGATTTTGGGTTCTTGGCTTGTAAATTGGATCCATTTCTGCTTTAACACTGAATTGCTTTTTTAATAGATTCCCCTATATAACCATAAAAATGTAAACATACCATTTTTACTTTTTAGCAAAAATCTTTGTTACAGATAATCAGATTCTACAGCACACTTCTAAATAATAAACAGAATCTAGAGAACCTGGATTCTTCACCAGTTTCCATTTTTTCAATGCAGAAGAGTTATGAAGGTCCTCCACTAAAGGAATCAGTTGTAGTGTGCTGTATTCCTCAAGAGAACATGATAACATGTAGGAATTTGGTGTTCCCTATTCTTTGCACTTAATGCAAATCTTAATTCTAGTACGAATAAATTCAAGTTTGTGTTTTTCCTTCTTTTTCTACAATATTTGTGGATAGGATAAGAAGCAAGGGAAGAAAAGAAGGAAAAAGAAGTATCGCTCCTCACGGAAGTCTTCAGCAAGTTCAACTTCGGAATCTGAGTCAGACAGCAAGGTAAGTGTGCACATTGTTACCCTTGGCAAGGTTTCTTGGTCTGTGTTATAAAGACATAAACATTTCTGACTTTTCACATGTCAGTATGGTTTTTTATCTTCCAAATTCAAAGCTGTGCATTCTCACTGTGCCTGAGCTGCACCCGTGTCTTCCACATGCAGTCTGGAATCTGCCTCCACTGGCCACAATGTGTGGCAGAAATAATTTTGCCTTTAGGAAATGAACATGCTTTGTCCCAGCAGTTTGCAGGTATTTTTCTGAGTTCAGACATAGGCAGCTTTTGTGCTGCTTAAATGTTTAGTTTTAATACTCCCCGAACACTTAAAATGTTCTGTGAAATTCTTTTGAATATGCTATTTGACTGAACACCATCTGTGAAAATACAGGTACTGAAGGATATCAGTGGGCAGAATAGTGCTTTTCTATATATCTGTGAGTGAGTAGTTTCCTGTTGGAGAACTGAGCCTTCCCTGAGTGCATATTAAATTGAAGCTGTCTTTTTCCTTTTCTGAAGGCAGAGCAGTGTAGATACATGGACTAACTGAATGAGCAGAGAAGTGAAGAAGATACACAAGGCAGTTTGTTCTGTTATGTTAGCATTTTTCTATGTTACAGTGTATAGTAACTGTACTTCTTGCCTGAACATTACTAATACAGTGAGTTGTTAAGATTCTCTGTGTAGACTTCATCACAGGCTTTCCCTGGAATACCTCATTCAGTGGGGTATGTTGTGATGAATCACTGTTTGCAAACACCTATGAATTTATGCTAATGGGAGGTTAGAAACTTCTGCTACATAAAGGGACACAGAGACACCCTTACTGCTGAAATTGGAAGGCAGAAAACTCCAGGGAAATACCTGCTTAAGCCCCACCTGGTCAGAGGAGATGGACATGGAGGGACAAGGGAGGCTCCCAATTGTTATATGTGATTACAGTAATGGTAGCTGGTATCCTTTCCAGAGGCTCTGCCTGTAATGCAAGTACACTGTTGCCTGATTCCATGCACACTTGTTCGTGCTGCTGGTTCAGGAAGTTAGCAGCTGCGTCAAAATTACGGCTTTTTCATATTTTTCCTGTTAACTGTGAGGTAGAAAGGACAACTTTGATGAATCACCTTCAACAGACAGAAAAAGACCATGGGTCAGACTGCTTTGGGGATTTCTACCTTTCCCATGAAATAATTTTTTCATGGTTTATGTTTCCCTTTTTATTTAGGATAGCACAAAAAAGAAGAGGTCAAAGGAAGACTGTGAAAAAGAGAAGGTATTTTTATTCTTGAAATATTTACATCAGAACTGCATTTTGCATACATAATGGAGCTTTCTTTTTTGAATATTGAATACCTCAATTTACACCTATGGAAATTTTCTGTCCAAAGCTACACAGTCAGAAGATATTCAGCGCGCCCAGTTTGTGGCAGACTGCCTTAGTAATTGTTGTTAGTGGAAACTGCTGGATCTGTTGTTATGATGGTAAATTAAAAATAGATCTAATCTGCTATAGTAATCAGCTGCATTCTCGTATTTTGAGGTTTACTTTTAGCTGTCACATTGAGCTAAAGATATGTGATGATATTTCAGTGGCATACCTGGTAGGATATCGGCTTGTTGCTGTAAATTAAGGAACACCAAGCAGAGGATATCTTTTTCTAAATGTGTAGTCATAATTATAGGTACTGTGTTGATGACAGCTTTGAAGAATTGCAGAGAAAAATGTATTAGCTTAAGAAAAATAATCTTATCCTGTCTTTTTTTTGAGCATGAAAATCCACCACCACAGCATTTTGTACACTCAGCCATTATGTTCCTTCCATTCTGTTTAATGTAAAAAAATCTAATGGACTTAAATTTTGGTTATTTATACCCTATGGGTAATGCATCCACTCTAGTTTTTCTCTCCAGTTACCCTTCTTGTTATATTGGCCTCTACCACTCCAGTCAACAGTATTGACTTTTGTGTACAAATTATCCATTACATAAGGCAAACGCACTGATGGTTTTTTCCCCTTGCTCCTTCTTCTATTTTACAGTGCCCATTTCCCATCAGCTCCTTTTGAGTAGCTTCTCTTTGAAAACCAAGTGTCTACCATAGTCCCTTATTGTAATGCTGCTTTCACATATCTTCTGAAAGCAAAGGGCACTTGGGGGACTAGAGGTCTTCCCCTCCCTGCAGATCACACATCTTTCAGGTGGGCTGCATCATGTGTACTTTCCATGAGTTCTTTTGGGAAAGGATTGAGGTACCTATAATAGACTAAATAGCACAGCTGAGATGTGTGATCCTGCCTTACAAAAAATAAATAATTAGCATGAATTTTCTCAGTTTGTGGCCTTAGAAATAGAGCGAAACGAAGTAGCTTCAGCTGTAGGAAAGCATTGCCTGGTCCATTGCAGAGGTGGTACAGCGAGTGGAAAAGTAGCTTATCGGAACAATCTCACACAGCATCAAAACTTTAAAAAGACTGTCCTTTAAATGCACTGAAATTAAACTTGAAGGGCAGCTGGCAGGGACAGCTTGTCCTGGTTCAACACAAATATAGAGGAAGCTTTTTCTTTCAATTTCATCAGCACAGCAAGAGTCTGAAGCTGCAGTGTTTGTATGCACATACTGAGACATCCTCAGTAACTCAGTAAAAGTGGTGAAATGTTTTATTTTCAAATGCTTACTCCTCCATGTGTTATTATTTAAAATAAGAGACTTATTATTCCTCTCACTTCTAGAAAGTTGCTGTATCTTGGTAGCAACAGAAAGAAATCTACACAAAATTATTATTTCCATTAAAATTATTTTAACGGGGTGATTTGTTGATAGTGATTAATTAGCTTAATGCCAACAGTATTTTAAAATACTTTACAACTCAGAAGTAATATTTCATTCTTAAATTTTAAGCAGAAGTTTCATGAAATTTGAAAGGCCAGACTTTACTCACAAATACATTACTTTGTGTAGGAAGGTAAAAATCACCACCGGAAAAGGAAGAAAGCTGATCGTGGCGATGGACCTTTATCATCAGAATCTGTATCTGAGTCGGATCAGACGGAGGAGGTCAGTGTGAAACCTCAGTTTCAGTAGCTTACTGCTTCACATGAGTGAATGAACAAACTAGCTTAGATTTAGACTTAGTGCTGAAACTATTCTGCTCTGTACAGTTGCACTTAACAGTGCAGCACATTCGAAGTGGTTTGTATTTTTCTCTTTAATAAAATCTTTGAGTAAGAATTGTTGAGTCCAGCTTCTGTCACCTACAAGTAATCCTGAATTAATATTCATGAAAATGTTCAATTTTTTATAGCTAATATGTTTGGTTTAATTTTTATTTAGGTGCAAGCGAAAAGGAAGAAAACCAATGAGGACAAAGAGAAAACAGCAAGTATCCCTCTTACTCATACTGTAGTTTTAGGATATAAATACTCTGTGCTTGGTTAATTTCCAGTTTGACATTTTTCACTAATACAGATTTTCTACAGCAATAGTCCGCTGTCACAGGAATCTAAAGTAACAGTTTCTCTATTTACCTGATGAAGTCACTTTTTCAATTGTTGAATTAAAGAATTTGCCACTATTTTACCTGTATATGATTTGAGATTTATACACGTTTAATGCTTACTGTAGAACATATTTTACTCTTTAGCAACCTACTAGAACTACTACTACCTGTACAGTTTCAGGTAGGGTAGCAGTTTGCCACACAGACATCAGTGCTGTTCCTTAGTGTTGCATGTTATTCCTTGGTAAGCCCTTTCTACCAGACTATGAAACAGGTTCAGGAGTGATTTGTATAGAACCCAGATTTATCACATGTTCCTGAGGCTCCTCAGTTAGGAGTGTCGTGGTTTTGAGATCCTCAATGCCCACTCTCAGTGTCTGTATGTCTATCTCTCCTGTCACAGCAGTATTCTTATTTAGGCATCTCAGTTGTCTACATGAGTTAGGACAAAGGGAAGGTCTCCATTAGTCACCTGAAAATACATGCATAGGGAGTATCAGTCATACACAATACACATTTTTCCATGGAACTTACTTGTTTTTTCTGAATTATATAAACTATTTACCATAAAATTTCTAGTGATTAATTGTGGAATTTCCTGTAGAAGATTTGTATTTGTAAGGAATGTGTGTAAAACAAAGCTTTTATGCCAGTTGTTTTGTTTACATAATGTCGGACCTATTTGAGAGTTCCTGTTGAAATTCTGCTTGCAAAAAGACAAGATTTTCTCTCTCAGCTTCTGTATTACAGTGATCAGGATATTAACTTCAGGATTGAATCCATTAGGGTTAATTTGAGTGTATTCAATTTGAGTACCATTGAGATCATAATTGTGGGTTTTTTTAAAATGAGGTGCAAGTGCTAGAAATTCTAGCCAAGTGCCATTGGACTATTTAATTTTTCACAGTGAATATAAGCACTTACTCTAAAATCTGTAAATATCCTAGTTATTCCCACATATATAAGATGTCACTGCTTGTCAAAGCACTTCCTTCTTATTTTCTCAGGAGCCTATATAGCACTGAAAATAATTTGAGAGATTAGGAAATGTAATAGTGACAGTGATGAGAGGTGTGAAATAGCCAGATGATGGTGGAGATAAATCAAACACTGCTCATAGTAGTGCAAATTACTGGATAGGATATGAATTTTCTTCTTGTGATTTCTCAATAGGCTTCTGTAGAAATGTCTTGAAATGTCTTTGCACAGATACCCTTTCTGTGCTCTCATTTTGCATTAGCAGAATTTAATAAATAGCTATTTCATTATACAATAACTTTAATTTTATTGTTTTTAGGATAAAGCAAAAAAGAGAAAGAAGCACAAGAAACATGGTAAAAAGAAGAAAAAGAAGATTGCTGGTTCAAATTCGGATTCAGAATAATATTTTAAAAAAACCCCAAGGCTATCAACAGAAGTGCAATGACTAAAGGAAACTTAAACTGTGAAAGGACAGCAAACTTTACCAAACTGCATGAGTTTTCCTGTGTTTTAGAAATATTTCTAATCTTTCAGTAGCCAGCCAGGTGCAGCTGTGCTGGGAAAGACCATTGTTACTGCCTGCTGCTTAATACATGAGGTACAACTTTTATAAAATGCCAGTGAGCAGTGTTAGGTGTTTAAAACCATATGACATGGTAGGCCAGGTGAGGTGTAAAATATTGGAAAATAAGAGTTAAACTTTTTGGATCATAGAAGTAGTCTTTTAAAGCGTTAGGAATAGCCTTTATTTGTACATCAGGACAAATTAAATCCCAAGTTCATCCTGCAGGTTAATACTATACGTAAACTATTAGAAGCTGATGTCTGCTAACGGCATTTACGAAATGGAAAATTAATGAGAACTTTTAAAAGGCTGTCTTTGTAGAAATGTGTATCATCTGCCCCGTTACCATCTTCATGCTTACAAGAAAGGGAATGATACCATTTTGGCTAACTGAATAGGGTGCCTTTGATTAATCCATGCAGCATCTCTGATTCCTGGGAAGCTAGAGCTATTGTCAGCAGCCTTTTTCTGAATAAGCAGTTTTGAGCTTCCAAGCATGTGCTTCTGCATTAAGCAAGAGCAATGACATTTTGCAGTATAACTGACAGTCAAAACCTGAAGATTTTACCTCTGCTTCTTTGAAATAGCGATAGATCTTTGCGAGTAAATATGCATATTTCATTTGATGTCATTTTGATTTAGTTGGAAACTTCTTGCAAACACTGGTAGCTTTCTTTGCATTATCTTTAGAGTTGTTTTGCATGATGTGTACCATTTTTAAATTAACAAAGTGCAGGTAATCGTTTGTTGTAACCGGTTCTATGAATTATGTTCCACATGCAGAGTTTCATCTATGTATTTAGTTATATTTAAGTTCATTGCTGTGTTTAAGTGCACACTTGCTGAAGATATTTAGCATGTAAAAAGCAGGGTTTTGATACCTTAACAGCTTCATATTGAAGCTGATATTACTCTAAGCAAGTTCAGTGGCAGATCTGTTATGTGATGTGTCTTGTTAGATAAAAAAAACTACTGCCAGAATCTCATTAAAGATACTGTTTAAACAGTTTGTATTTATATTTTTGTACTTGAGGGCTACAGAATGTTGACCTAACTCATAAAGCTGTTTTACTTTAATTTAGTTGCTTTAGATACTGAAAAAAGAAAGCTTTTTTTAAATTAAATGTGCACAGAAGAAAACACAAGCAACCATTCGATTTTAGTTTCATGAAATTCTCACTATTTCTTCATTGAAACACTGATTGCTGGGCCTTCTGTTAGCCTTTAACAACCACCCATCCATCCCAAGCAATCAAGGACGGATTGTATTCTTGATCTACCCCTTTTTTTCATTGCACAGGTGCTAACTTAGAACTTACCTCTATTGCATACTGATGTTTCAAATATTGTATTGCCAAGAACGGCAAGAGTTTTAAGACACTGATTATTAGTCTGCAAACCATAACTGAAAACTGTGGGAGAAAAATGATTTTTGTGTTGCCGTTCTACAGAGAAATTGACTTCAAGTTCTTGGGGAAATACACAAATATTGAGTCGCAGCAATGTCCCTCTAAACCATAGTAAGAATATTTTGATCAAATATTTTATACTGTTGAGCTTGATGTTATCAGTTCTAGACACTGTTTTGTCAGTGAGGTTAAAATAAAGGCAAGATGCAGTGAACAGTAGGGGTTTGATTTGGGGTTTGTGCTTAGTTTTCTTGGGGTTGTTTTAAATTGTGGTGTTGCAGTTTCGGTAAAAGAACTTGTAATGAACCGTAGCATAAGTGCTCTGTCCTGTGTGGTACCTTATTTGACTTTTACACAGCCACCTGCCACAGAAAGAAATAAAAATGGAAATGAGCCCCAGTCTTCCAAATACCTAAGCTGATATGTCACTTTAATTGTCTGAATGTAACTTTGTTCTGCTCAGCTGTGGGGCTTGGAGCGCTGCTGTCACGCTTGGGCAGGGGGGTCGCTGCTTCAGGGGCTTATGGGCTTTGTCAGTTCACAGCAAAGCTGCTTTGGTGCTGACAGGGAAATGCTTCTGTTTGCTATACGTTAACAAATATGTTGTGTCTCCTCCTGCATCCTTTTTCCTTGAAGGAAGGGTAAAGCCTGGGCTCAGCCCTTCAGCTTATCCGAGTACGTGAGACGGTGATGTGGGTTTCGGGTGGCACCTACAGCCACGTTTCGAGTTTCAGCAGAGGGACAAAGCAATGTGCCAACAGAAGGGTTTTAATCGGTTTCTGACAGCAGATGAACAGTGTCGTATATAGTATTTATCTCTTCCTTCCAGGCGCGTTCTTACAAGTTTGAAACGCGGTTTTCTTTCCTACAGCCGCCGCTGAAAAGCGTACGTGGTAAGCGCAGATCCAGGCTGTGCGCGGTGTATCCGTGCTCGGCCGGGGCCGCAGGCGTTGCCAGGGCAGTGTGTGCGGGGTTTAGCGTCCCGCGGCCATGAGCGGCAGGAAGCGGCTGCAGCAGCTGCTGGACTCGCTGGGCCGATCCGCCAAGCACTGTGAGTCTCTCCCCGCCCGGAGCGGCCGTGGCAGCGTCTCCCGTTACCCCTGGGCTCGGTACGCGGTGCGGGGGTTAGGGCAATGCCCTGTGCCCGCCGCGCCTTCGGCACTGTGAGTTATAACCTGTGTGCTTGTGTTCGGACCGGGCAGTTTCCAAGGCCGAAGTGCGGTGCCTGGTGATGCTGTTCGACTCGCTGGTGCCCAGGTCCAGCAGCCGTTGCGGCGCGGTGGGGCTCGGCCGCGCCGTGTTCAGGGACACCCTGCACTGCGCCCTCGGCCTGACCGACGATGTGCTCGCGGACGAAGGTGAGCTGAGAGCTCTGGAAATTCTGCTTACACTGCGGACCCGGTGCCTAGGCGGAATAGTGCCGCCTTACCCCGTGGAGGGCAGCAAAGGAGGAGTTAGTTATGCTCAGGAGCTGTTGAGAAAATGGCATCTTTTTTTCTCTCTTTGTGTGGAATAGTTTTCCCCTTGGTTCAGGGTATCTCATGCTCTAGTTAGAGGGAGGACCAGCCAGAGTCAGGTGCTTCCCTGTGGGTGTTTCTATCACAGTCACTGTGACAGAAGATGGCACCATCCTGTCACTTCCCTCTTTTCTCTGCGGTCACTGCTGCTCTAGCTCAGGCCTGGAGGTCCCAGAAGGGCATTCTCTTAGAGAGGATACCATCTGGAACAGAGGTGCTGTGAACAGCATTAAAGGGACTAAGCAGACAGTAACAGGGAGGGGAGAGTAATGAGCCAAATAACTCCTTGAGAACACAGTAATTTCACACAGGAGGGCCACACTTGCAGTAACTGCAAGTTGCATGAATGGTCTCTGATGTAGAGGTGTCTAGAGGAGGATGCCAAGGAGGCATGAGTCTGCCATTCTTACAATCTGGGGCTGCCAAGAGCCACCTCTTAGTTCAGCTTTCATCAGCTCTCTGTCAGGAGAGGTACTTATATGCCATAGAATATAAACTTGTTGCCATTTTATGCAGCAAGTCAAGTGTGTCTTGGAAGATACTTTACATGGACATATTGTTAGAAATTATTTTAATGCTTACATGCCGATTTCAGTTTGCAAAAGCAAACTTACTGCTTTCCAATTCCAAAATGCTTGGCTCTGCATGTAGGGGTGTGCCTTCAGCCAGCTTACTAATTCACATTCAAAAATACCAATTGTTATAGATGTTAGCTGATGCTTTGAATTATATCTTGGATCTGAAATACTGTATTATAGGTTGTATGAATAGTGAAGCTGCAAGACTGAAAGTTGCTTAGGAAAGAGAGAAGAAAAATACACGTTTATAGTATCACTGAATTTAAGAAAACATTGGGGTTTTTTTATTTCCCTATTGTATAAATTCTAAAATGCATCTAATACACTTCCCAGTGTTCAGAGTTTTTGACAGAGACAGAGATAAGTGCATCAGTGTGGTGGAATGGGTGGAAGGCTTATCCATATTTCTTCGGGGGACATTGGAAGAAAAGATTAAATGTAAGACTGAAGGATTAAATGTTATTATATAGCACATTGTTTTTGTTATTATTTAGTAGTAACTCTTCTGAAGTATTTGGAAATTGAAGAGTTTTCTTCTGTATAGTTTAATGCAATGAAACTGAGTTCTGAAATGGCTTCTCTGAGACAGAGGATTTTGTGTGTAAATTGTTGTTACAGCTGCCACCCTGTTTTGTTGCTGACAAAAACTTGCATTTGAACTGAAGCTTATTCTACAGTATACAGCTTTGACAGAATATGTGTTTTTGTATTCACACACAAAATTAGAAGCAGAACTGGGGTAATTTTGGCTAAATACCACAGTCTCAGGCCAACCAAGATCAGTGCCAACTTTCATTTACTAGCACAGTGGGGACACAGCAGCAGTTGCATTAACTCCAGAAATTCTTCAGCATGGAAAAAGTGAGTCTGTTTGTAAGATTGGTCATGAGAACCTCCACAATAATGACAGAGAAAATGAAGGAGAAAAACTAGCAAGAACTCTAGAATTTTAAGAAGCAGGAAAAAAAACCCCCTAGAGCACATAGGGAAAAATGTGTAATAGAAAAAGGAGAATGACAGCATGTTGTTTCCATAGCTCCCAGGTTGCAGCATCAGCCATCCCTAATGCACTATATAAATTCACCTGGGAAGTGGTCTGAGATGTCATAGCACTCAGATGTGTGCCCAGGATGTAATTCAGTGTGTGAATACAACTACAAGCAGTAAAATATGCTGTAAGCACTGTTGAATATACTAGTGTGTAGTGTTCTCTGTCACAAGTGTATGCCAGGAGTGTTTTTCACTTTAGACATAGTCTTTGTCAGGAAAAAAACCAACCTGGTATTCCAAAACTGAAGAGTTTCGTTCATTTAATTAAGTTTTCCAAAGGATAGTAAAGTTTATTAGTATCGTAGATTTCTGGTCCCAGGAGGTAGAAACAGAAGAGGAATTACATAGATATGCAAAATACTCGTTTCAGGGATTTTTCTCTTTGCATTAAAGGTGCTTCAGTTATCTTTTCCGTGCTAGTACAGCTCATTCTTCTTTTTCCTTTTCTTTTCTAACCCAGCTTCTAAAATAATGAGAATGTGTTTTCTAGATGCAAAGTCTTTTGGTATAGATACCTGTTCCCCACTGTGGGAAATTTGGCTTCTAAACCAGAACCTTGTTTCTATTCTAAATAGACAATTTAAGTGAAGTTAAGATCCGTAAGTTACTATGGTTTATGTGAACTGAGGATTATTGATTTGAGCAGAAATAAAGAAATAATGTTTAACTACAAATGGTAAATTGGCATTGACTAGTTTTTGAATCAAAATGTGATACATATGTTTAATATATAAATATATGATAAATGTGGCTGGACAACAGCCTGTACAACATGCAATTTGCATTTTCTGTCTATAGGTAGCAGACAGCTTGATTGGCATGTGATTATAGCTTGTAATCAACTTGTAATTTATTTCTCTTTGCAAAAGACTGTTTTGAGGTTTATGACCGAAATGGTGACGGATACATTTCGAGAGAGGAAATGTTTCACATGCTGAAAAACACCCTTGTCAAACAACCATTAGAAGAAGATTCTGATGAGGGCATCAAGGACTTGGTAGAGATCGCACTGAAGAAAATGGTAAGTATTTATTCATTGTGATATTTGAGTGTCTTTCAAACATTCATTAACCAAAGCTTGGAATCTTCCTATGTGGTAATAAAATACCGTGTCTGATATATTGTGGGATTCTTAACCATGGAGTTAGTTATATACTTCAGATAAACTAGTTTTCTGAGGAAAGCCAGAAATACAATCTAGATTTAGTGAGTCCCAGTCCAGTATTCTCACATGAAGCTGTTAATTTATTATATGAATGTACTATAAACTTTATGTATAAACTGTCATGTGCATGCCTAGTTGAAACAAAAGCCCAGTCAGAAGTGGAAAACTCAAAAGTGTAAGATGCATTTATTCCAGCATTAGGAATCTGCAGTAGCTTTATTATTGATAAATAATAATATTGATAATTGACAAAACGTATTTGTGTTTTATCAGTTGATCATGAAATGTCTTTGTCCAATCTATATATTCCATTAGAATAGTAAACTCAAGGTAATTGAGTTTCAAGGTAAATTGATAAATCTGAAACTTATCTTAAGAGTGCTTAATCTAGGATATCCAGAGCAGCCAGGGACTGTGTTTCCACATTTTCATCAAATCAAGAAATATAATCTCTCTTCTATGGTGGTGTTCAAAAATCACAATTAAAACCAGGGCTTGAATCCCAGCTCCTTTTATTTAACTCTGCCTTTTCTATTTTTTCAAACCCACCCCTTTTGCTTTAGGTGGAGGCAAAGGATGCAGGTCTTGTCTGAGCAGAGACTGATGACCTCAAAAAATTATTTTTGCATACAATCAAACTAAAAATAGAATCTGTTAAAGAAAAATGCCAGTAATGATGCTTTGCCAAAGCAGTCCTTTCCTTTTGCAGGACTATGATCACGATGGCAAGCTTTCTTTTGCGGACTTTGAAAAAGCAGTCAGAGATGAAAACCTTCTCTTAGAAGCCTTTGGACCATGTTTGCCAGACATAAAGGTACATCAACCCTGAGTTTAAAAAAAATTGCAATACTTTCCATTCTATTGGAGGGAGATACATTTGTTATGGCATTAACTGTCTTTGTGTGGGGCCTGGTTGAAGTCAACATGTAAATGCTTCGGGTGTGAGAGGTGCATATGCTGAGTTCATATCTACCTTTCACAGCACCAGTGTTTCCTTATGCAATCACACTGGTACCAGAGAATATAAGAACCCACAGGTTTCTCAGTCGTCTGTCCTGGGGTAGCAGTATAATTACTGATCCTCAATGAGCATCCTGTCAGAAAATGGCACCAGTCCCTTGTATTCCTAGAGATCTTTTGGATAAACAGTTCAACTGTTCTTTCTTCAGTGCCACAGGCAACACTGCCATCACCTCACTTACAGCCTCTTTTGGGAGAAGCTGGTAACTTTCTGAAAAAATAACATCTTGATAGTAGTATTCATCTCAGAGTGTGGCACTACTGTTTAGTAGTGTTTACTACTGAAAAAATAACATCTTGATAGTAGTATTCATCTCAGAGTGTGGCACTACTGTTTTGTATTTTCATCTAACCAGGCTTTATTTATTAGCAATACACCTACCTAATTCAGGTTTGTTGGGTTTTTTTGAATGTGGTAATTTAGAACATGCTCATTTCCTCAGTGCTAAGTTTACTTTGGAGAGAGCTTCTGCTCTATCATATTTTTTTTCCAAATCCAGTAATCATTATTCTGTTTGAACTGAATTTTAAATACTGGAAGTTGTAGCTTCATAGAGATGGCAGAATAAAATTCTGAAATACACACAATGAATCCTAGAAACAGAAGAGTTCTGTAAGACTGCCAAGAACATGGCAAGCCTTCCTTTGCTGGAAACCTGCACTTCCTGCCAGCTCACACACCTGTAGGCTGGAGGGCAGGAAGGAAGAGTCCTATAGCCATGATAGCAGGCTACATTACATCTGGAGCTGTTCCCAAACTGCCAGACTTCTCCTGGCATGCTGTCGAAAGACTTTTAAGGGTTTGGGAAAACCAAGGTACATACTTTGGGTTTTAAAACCAGTGAAAAGGTTTTAAAAAGTTTCTGAACAAAATCACATTCGCTAATCAGCAGAGAAAAGCTACTTGTTTTCTGTCAGTGTTGGTGATAAAGCAGGTACACATTTGAGGCTAATGGTGGTAAGAGGTGGAAAACCTGGCTTGTGTCTTGCCCTCTGTTCTGTATCCTACCCAACTGTTGCCTTTTCCCTAGGTCTTTTAAGAGAACAATATTTACATGGTTGGACGCAATGATCTTAGAGGTCTCCTCCAACCTTGATGATTTTATGATTCTGTGTCCTTTCAAGCCCTAAAAGCAATAAATTTCATCTATGAACTTTACATGAAGAAAACTCACAATTTACTTGATCTCCACTGAAGCTATTTTAATTCTACCCCTTGACACAACTTCTTCATTTGTACTTAAATATAATTTTTTTAAATGTAATGAGCGATGTATTGGACAAAGTCTTGCCACCATGAGTGGTTCTACAGGGAGCCTGCAAAGATGTGCCATGAGCTGATCCCTTACATACACCTGCACAAGCACCAATCCTGGGAATGTCAGCATGGACCATCTTAGCCTGGCATTAGGGTCATACCCCCAGTGCCAGTTCTGCTGCCCAGAGGTGACCCCTAAGCATCACCCCCAGGGCTGTTACAACACATTGCTGCAGATATTAACCTCATCACCAAGGGAAATTTCACTCCT